CTGTCGCGTCTGTTTGTTTACTATCGAGGGGCACAAAGATGGCGGATAGCAACCGTTGTCAAGACCGGTGTCACGTGGGTGAAAGCCAAGAATAGAATCTAAATACCTCTTCGATGATTCACTAAAGTTCTAACTTATTCGAGGTTTATAAATCCGCTACGCATCGTTGAATCTGGAAACAAAATTATCGCCCAAGTTTTTAGACATTGCGAATAAAAATGCAAATTTCTTCGATTTAAAAAGAAAGTGTTGGGTTGTGTACATTATGTATTATTTAGAAACATATGTCCACGGCTTGTTGGGCATCGGTCCGTAATATTATAGAGGAAGGAAAGGAAAGGAAAGGAAAGGAATTTTAATTCTGAACTTTATCTTAAAAAAAAGAATTATAAAATTATTTTTAAAATAAAAATAAAATTAATAATAATTTTGAAAGTCTGAACTTTATTTATAATGGTGGTGTGCATCCTTCTGCGTGCATCCTTCCCCAGGAGAATAAAAGGACAAGAGGTGATGATGTCAAATGCATTTTTAGGTTTCAGCTCAGGAGGTCAAGAAAGAAAACCCTCTTCAATTCAAGTTTTTAGTCAAGTTCTACCCTGAAGATGTTTCAGAAGAACTCATTCAGAATATCACCACGGTAGGTTCATATTTCTTAAGGCATTGGGACACAGAGTGTGACATTTGGTGAGACTGAGGAAAGTGGCTTACACAGAGCCTACTTGTTGGCTCAATTCTTTGGGCACCAGCCTGTTGTGGGGAGGTTGTGGATTCAGACCCTCCCCACCTCTTGGAATTTCCAATTCTCCTCCATGGGGGAGGTATGGATATTTTCTGGTACTACACAATATACCCTCCTCAGACCCTCTCCACCCCTTGGAAATTCCAATCCCCCTCTGTGGGGAAGGTATGGATAGTTTCTGGTACTACACAATATACCCTCCTTAGACCCTCCCCACCTTTTAAAAACTCCAGTGTTTAAAATATCCTATCTATTTTGCCAACCACAGAAATTGTTCTTCCTTCAAGTCAAAGAAGCCATCCTTAATGACACCATTTATTGTCCAGCAGAGACTTCTGTGCTTTTGGCATCATATGCTGTAAGTACAACTAAAATGCCTCATTCTACATCCACGGCAGACTAATATGAATGCATTGCACCAGAAAAACCTTGTGTTTGAATGAACCTCTTCGCCGTGGGCATAATTTTTTCCCATTTCAGATCATGGTCATTCCCTAGAGTATTATCCCAGGGGAGGGGTACTCCTGTATAGAAAAGAGTAGGGATACTCTTAGGAAATTTTGAAAATGAACCCCAAATGGTCCGTCAGTTTTGTCCAGGTAGGCGTGTCAACTAATGATTTTTACCCCTAAAAGGTACCAATTATTTATGAATAAATTAATTGTTTTTCCCTCCATTTTTGTTCAACTGCTTAGTGTCAGGGAAAGTATGACGATTATAGTGAAGAAAAAGCAAAAAATTTGTTGAAGGATAAATTGCTTTCACGAAGGTTAGTTTAAATTATGCTTTAGTTATTTCATTCACTCTGAATTAACCAAATTAATGGAAACCAGAGAAAAGGGAGGGAGAGAACAACACATCAAACAAACTCAACTAGCATATGTTCCAGTCTGAGCTAGGGCTCGAACACGGACCACAGCAGTGAGAGACGAGTGGTAAAAACCACTACCCATGCCACCCATTAAGTTAACACCAAGTAAAAAAATACCTACAATTTCCAGTGAAAAGAATCGAACCACACCCATTATTAGTCATTCCCTTCAATCAGGGTGGGAATGAAAGGGGTGTGGCATCATTCTGGCTAAAATATGTACATTATACATGTAGCTAGTAGTTAAAATGTAGAAAAAATGTAGAGCACGATTATTGTTGAATTTCAGGGTTTACAATATTATTTATACGTTTAAATACAGTTTATATGTGATGGGTAAATTTTAGAAATACTGATGTGAGAAACATGATGCCCGCGATTCTGGCCCTGCGCCACAGTGCCCAATGAAATTTTCATTGCATATTTCTTGTTGTCCATGTATACCTAATTACTTAGTTCACCACAACATTTATTTTCATATTTAATTCTTTTATTTCATAGAGTGCTTGATCAGCACAAGCTGTCGAAAGAGGAGTGGGCAGATAAAATTGCCACGTGGTGGAAAGAGCATAGTGACTTATTGCCGTAAGTAGTACTAGGCTGTCTCTGCAAAACTATATGCACTAATTGTAATTTAAACTTTGAGTTAGCTGTTTCTAGGTTCAATAAAAAATTTAAGTTTATTTTTCCATCGTCTCTAGAATTGAAGCCATGATGGAATATCTGAAAATCGCACAGGATCTTGAAATGTATGGTGTGAATTACTTCGACATCAAGAACAAGAAGGGTACTACCCTTCAGTTGGGCGTAGATGCCCTTGGTCTTAATGTTTACGAGCCAGAAGACAAGTAAGTAACAGGTGACACGAGGTGGTCAAAGTACTGTGATAGTCAGGTGTTATCATACCAACCACTTTACGAAAGTTTGCTCAACATAAACTCTTAACATAAACTTCCTTGTAGGTTGACACCAAAGATTGGATTCCCATGGAGTGAAATCAGAAACATCTCTTTCAATGACAAGAAATTTATCATCAAGCCAATTGACAAGAAAGCACCAGTAAGTATATTAGTACTGATTGACAAAGATTATCAATAAAGTAATGTATTATTTTTGACTGTTTGATTATTCAGGACTTTGTGTTCTTTACTGAACGCCTCAGAATAAACAAGCGTATCTTGGCATTGTGTATGGGTAACCATGAGATGTATATGCGCAGGAGACGAGAGGACACTATTGAAGTTCAGCAAATGAAGAGCCAGAGTAAAGAGGATCGTGCTTTAACTCTTGCTGAACGGTAAGATATCTCRAACTAGAGCAGTTTTTATATGACAGTGTCAAGAGCTCAGGGTATGTCAACATGGTCATGAAACGGCAAGGCATACACCAGACCAATTACATTGCACAAGCCAATCAAATACCTGGAACGCAGTAAGAACATGGTCATGTCAAGGTCATGGCACTGCCCGACCAATCGCATTGCATTGTGTGAGAAAAAAGAACAGCCAATTAAAATTCTAGAAAACATCACTGCCCTTGCAACGAATGCTTAGGGTACTGAGCTTTTCATTATTTCTAAGTCATGTGAAAACTGCTGTAAGAGGCAACTATATTTACCTTGCCCCTAAGATGTTACTCAAAATACTTTAATCTTTCATCCAATTTGTAACCAACTTACAAAAAAAGGAATAAATAAATATAGTAAGTGGTTAACAGGAGGGCAGTCTACTCTCCCCTCCCCCCAAAAAAACACAATCCCCTCTCTCCCCCCCTAAAAAACAACTATATGATACAAAAACTGTTATTTAAAAATAGGACCAACGACTTCTAAGCAGCCTTGACATTATCTTGAATTTTGATATTTTAGTGAAAAAACGAAGGAAGAGAAAAAGAGAACGGAAGCAAAAGCTAAAGAACTTGAAGATGCTCTAGAAAAGTATAAAGGCTTGAATGAAAAATTAAGAGAACAAGAGGAAGGTAAATATACTGTAATGGATATATAGTTCACTTTTAAGGAAAGTGACGTGATACTCCCTCTTTAAAATCTCCTTGATAGAAATGAAAGCATTAGATGAAAAACATCAAGCAGCATTGCAAAAGCTGCAAGAGGAGATGGAAACAAAGAATTCAGATAGGGACAGGATGATGGAAGAAAACCAAGCTCTACTCTTGAAGTTGCAGGATTCACAGAAAGAAAAGGATAGCCTGGTAAGTAAAATGAACTTTAGTTGTTGTAACTGCTGTTGTTTCTGCTGTTGTTGTTGTTGTTGCTGCTGTTGCTGTTGCCGTTGCTGCTGTTGCCGTTGCTGCTGTTGCCGTTGCTGCTGTTGCCGTTGCTGCTGTTGCCGTTGCTGCTGTTGCTGTTGTTGTTGCTGTTGTTGTTGCTGTTGTTGTTGCTGTTGTTGTTGCTGTTGCTGTTGTTGTTGCTGTTGTTGTTGCTG